TTTTGAAATTGTCACATTTATGTTCTTTAAGGAGAAAGAAAAAAACAAAACAAAATAAAAAAACATCCCTTGCACTTTCATGGGAAAAATACTCAAATCCTCTGATCTGCTCATTTCCAGGAAGTTTAACGGAAAACATGTGGCTCGTCTTTGGTACTTAGTCAAATACATTTATTTTGGTGTCCTAACCTATTGGATCAAACACGACGATCCAAGTCGTGTCCTCGGTACCTTTCTTGCAGAGAACTACAGTTGCATCAACCTCTCCCTATTTCAGGGTAAGGGCAGCAACGACATTCAGCTTCTGCAGCCGAGTATGCAAACTGCAAGCCTGGCCCTACTCGCATAAGGGCCAATGGCAGATTCCTGCCATGGTTTATTTTAGGATACTTGCAATATATGGAAATTGCACTGAAAAGAATCTTTGCAGGAAATGAGAGCAGTATCTGAAAGCTGTTGTTTGGCCACTGAATACAGACCGCGTTTCTTAGTGCCATGGTCAGCCTTACCCCTTCCCTGATGGGGGACTGTTCCAGTTCTAGATAATTACTCCAGGAGTATTTCAGACACATGGTCTCATTTCTGGCAGCTGCCCCTGCACTAAATTCTCTCTGGTGTCTGGAACAGCTGCTTATTCCTCCAGCTTGGGCCTTTGAGATGTAAATAGTGTAATCCAGCTTCAAGAGGCAAGGAAATATTAGCAGAATTTAATGTAAATATTGTATAAATCATCCCAAAATAGCATGGCCATGGGATGAGCCAAAGACACTAACAGAAAGTTAAACAGACTAAGTAAATACAGACTAAATATATTCTCCTCCTGGAATTGCCACTGGAACAGATCCAAATAGGAAATAAGTTGAAATGTAGTCTTGTGGCAGTGATATTAAAAAGCCATTGGCCCATTTGGTGACATTTAAAATGAATTTTATGTACTCAATGCATTTTTAATACATGCTGAGTTAAATATTATCCAATCTATAAAAAGATTATGGAAAGAATGTCTGTTTTCATATGGGTGGACACTGCCTGGAACTCTCTCTGTGGGTTTTGTGCAAGGGGAGCGTTTGAAAGAAAAAAGAAAAGAGCAGCCCTGCTGTAAGCTCTGTGCCTAGATTTCAGCAGCACATGCACAATTCATTGCACTGCTGATTTTGAACCCAGTTACTTGCCTATTCAGAGAGTAGAGGTTGTTACACATTAAGAAATCAGCATTTACAG